ATATATTTATTTAATTAATTTTTTTTTCACTGGGCTTATGAAATGCTTTCTGCCTCTTTTTGGTATTAGAAACTGACGCAACCAGATTCACTTGTAAGCATCCTGGCAGCTACACCTGGTCTAGCCCATGATCCAATTGCGAAAGCAGCTCTGCGAGATCCTGACCTTCTCATCCATTTGGCAGATCCCAAATGTGTTCAGAAGTGAGCCATTCATCCCTATTGTTCCCTAAAAATGAATGAGGATTCATCAGGTTACCAAGCTTATCCTAAGGAAGGAGTGGGAGCCAGAGTCAGCAATTTTTGCCTAAGCTTCTCTGCATTTCCTCCTAAAGTTGTCCAGCAAAGCTGTTGTATGCAACCCTGACTTAAGTTTTACCTTATTACGTTATAAAGTATTGGATGATATGGCAAGAAAAGGGCTCCCTTCAAAGCTTAAAAAATGGCATGAAGTGCTTTAGTGCTTCCAAGCCTCTTACTTTTATTCAGGTATTATTTATTCTAACATTTCCATTATGACTGGAAGGTAGAATGTCTCTGTTCCTATCAGTCTAATACCTTATACGCTACATCAACACTGAGAAATTCAACAACACTATGCTCAGTTGGATCCAAAAGAATCTCCATCCTGATGTGAATGGTTTCATTATCTTTTATTCTCAATCTTTCATGACATAACTTGCTTTTACTCTGCAAATAAGCCTCCTGAAGAAGGAAATATGTTTTCCCTCTTCACCACTCATGTGCACAGTCTTAGTTTAAGCATCTAAAGGCAGGTTACTATGCCTTTGGTTCTTGGTGCATTCTGAAAAGGTAGCTTGAAACAGGATATACAGGGTGGTGCATAAATACCTCCCTGATTTGCCTTTCCTGTTATGGCAGTCTGCGATATATTTCCCTGAAGTGCATTCTCTCTAATGAAATGCATCACTCTGGAGATTATTCAGCAATGGAGCATTGGTCCATGAAGGAGCGTGTGAAGGCAGTAGAAATCTTTATCCAAACTAAGTTGATTGTGACAACCCAGCAGGCATTCAAACGTGAACTCAATCTGCATGATGCCCCCTCTCACAAGACCATCACGGCCTGGGTGTCTAAATGGCGTGAGACTGGCTCAGTCCGTGACGTGCCACCACCTGGGCACCCAAGGTCAGTCCGTACAACAGTGGCAGCGGTGAAGGTGCTGGTAACAGTCCAGCGCAGTCCCCAGAGATCGACGCATTGGTTGGCCCAGGCAGTCGGAGTGGAGCGGACATCAGTCATACGGATCCTCCATGAGCAACTGCATCTACACCCCTACGAACTGCAAGTTGTGCAGGCACTCTGGAATGATGATAAGCATACACGTGTGCAGTTTTGCATGGAATTCCTCCACATGGTGCAGGGCGATCTGCAAATTCCGGAGATGGTGCTCATGAGTGACAAGGCACACTTCGAGCTCAGTGGCCATGTAAACAAGCAAAACTGCCAATATTGGGTGGCAGAAAATCCACACTTACTCCAGGAGCGGCCATTACACAGTGAGAAACTGACCGTGTGGTGTGCTGTGTGCACATATGGAGTGATCGGCCCATACTGCTTCAAGGACGACGATGGCAACACGTTACCGTTAACGCTGCCCGATACGTCCAAATGCTGCAGTCATTCTTGGACATGGAGATGCGTCCACGTGGTCTTCCTCCTGGAATGTGGTTCTAGCAGGTTTGGGGCGACTGCACACACAGCCCAGATGAGCATGAGCGTCCTCTGCAAAATGTTTCCTGGGCGCGTGATATCCAGGTACGGGGACCTTCATTGGCCATCGCGGTCGCCAGACCTAACAGCTCCTGATTTTTTTCTTTGGGGGTACCTGAAGAGCAAGGTGTACAACACACATCCAGCAACTTTGGAAAGTCACATTCAGGAAGAAGTAGTCGCTGTACCCATCGCGATGTTGCAGTGCATCATGCACAATGTAGTGGACCGGGCGCGAGAATGTGTCGAGCGCGATGGCGACCACCTGAGTGATGTCATTTTTCACAAGTGACTGTCTATGTGATTGTCCTATAATTTCCATATTCCCAGGCTGCCATAGGAATAGATATCAGAACAAAGTCATTTGTCCTGAGTCTTTTATTTCCTCTTACAACCTGGGAGGTATTTATGCACCACCCTGTATAATATCTAATTTAGCTTTATTTTTCAGGATTCTACTTTGAGAAAGGCAAGAAGACACTGATTGTTCTGTTATTGCGAATAGCAACTAAGACAAAATGGAAAAATGGGACAGGCAGTTTTTGTAGAGTGAAAGCAGAAAGTGTTAGTCACTCCTTTTAAGCAATGGATAGATGTATTTACCAAAAAGGAGGAGTAAACTGAGGAATCGAGTAGTGAAGTTTGGTGTAGTGTTAGAACTGGCTCTATAACTATGCAAATAATAATACTATTTAAAAGTATTTATTTTGTTTGGCAAATTCATTAGTAAAAAGTAAGGTCTGAATGCTGAAACCTCATCCAGGCAAGATAAAGGACTCTTGAAGCAAAAGAGCCCTTTTTTCTCAAACCAGAGTCCATGGATTCTTAAAGAATCACTAACCTTGGTACTCAAATCAAAAAGCTTTGTCTCAGCTGAACGAAAGCTTTGAATTCATATCTCTGAAATGAAGGGTTTGGGAGTTATGGCGATTTTAAGTATAACCCAGTAAACAACCATCTGGCCGTAGCTTCAAGAACAAACTTCTGCAAAACTGTAGGCCAGTGGTCACTGGGAGTCACTTTCCTTCCACTCTTCTTAAGACCCCCTACAATAATTATAAGCCAAATTTCAAGTCACAGACCCTTGATTCTTGATTTCCTTCCTACCTTAACAGGGACTCATTTTATGCCTCCAAAATTTCATCCATTTTTCCTATTGGTTGTATCAAAGGTTTTAAACTATTTTCATATGCATTCATTTCCTGAAATATTCAACTTTAAAATGCAAAAACTCTACCAGTAATGATTCTTGAGTGCATTTTATTTCAAAAGTTAGAAACTGGAGAATGATAACATCTTCAAACCTCATTTTGAAATGTAGTGATATCCTGTTCTTTTTTTTTTTAAGAGGGTCACAATTTGTTAAAGCTATGGTTAGTTGAAATTTGACATAAATGCAACCATGGTGCTGAATGCAGACAAGCATTGCTCAAGAATTTTCAGTGTTTAATAATTGACAGAAAGAAATACACTGTGCATCTGTAGAAGTGGATATTTTTATTTTCAGTTGTATTCTAATTCTACTGTTACCAGTTATTAAAATGTATCAAAACATAAGAAATGTTCTTAATTTACAATTTTGTTGAATTGTACATAGGTTGAAATGAATTGCTCTCATTGATTTCACAGCAAAAATTCATCCAAGTTTCTTTTAAATGAGAAAATATAAAATATCCACCTAAGTTGATATGCAGTGTATTGAAGAGAGAATAAAATTAAATGGCAGAAATGACTAGGTTGATGCTTGCATGCTTTGTGAGTGCCTCCATGTCTTCTTTCATTTCCTACATGAAGCAGTCACCGTCTCCACCCAGTCTACTAAGTGTTGGAAGATTATACTTAGCTGCTTCACTTCTTTGGTGCCTAATGATGTGAATGGTGTTGATACATGCAGGGTGTGGGAGAAGCACCCCAGTTTGTTGGAGGCAGCCAACATCATAGCAGCATCTATGCATGAGGATTCTTCAGTGCCATTCCACCCTGCCTTCATGCAGGAATACCTGGAGGATGACCCTGATCCTGATGTCTGTCATTTTTACTCTCTGTTGCCAAGGGCATTTTTCACTCATTCATGTAGTACATTTCTCATCATGGTTTTCTTGTTGACCCCATGTAGACGAGTCAAAGTGAGTCTCCCTCCCGAGATCGGGGATTTCAACCAATCACTGCCTCTCAACTGGCCTCTGCTCTTGAGGCTGTTGGCAACTTCCTCCCTTCGTGAGTTCTAACTTCATTTTGTGATGTTTTTCATCTTCCCCAAGCTTTTCTATGCTGTCAAGAGAACTCAAGAGTGACATGTCCTAGGTATCCAAAACCCACAAGTTCAGCAAAAAGTATAAGTTGGTGAAGAATAAGAAAGTGTAATTGTTTCATGAAAAGTCAAAGGAACAGGGCTTAAGGAATTAAAAGTCACAGGAATTCAAATGCATTGTTCTCCATCAGATGTGATATCTTCATGGAGAAGAAATCACTTTTGAATTTTTTTGCCCATTTTACCTAGGGACCATTGAATATGGTGAATATTGAATATGGTTTCCAGTGATATTTGGTAGTTGTAATTAGACATTAGAGAGGCATCTAGACTTCCTCCCTTCTTACCTCTCCATGTTTCAAAGGGTTTTGCAGCAAGTTAAAATTAATGAATTGACTGGATCTTAGGAAGCCTGTAGTTTTCTGTGAGAAAAGTCAGGACAATGAATAAATACTTTATTGCCAATAGTTGTGAAGGAGTTTGTTCAGAGAGACAGTGGACTTGCTTTTGGCATGGGGATGAGTTCTTTCTCTCAAGTGGGAGATGTATGGTGAAAAGAGAATAATAAAAAATTAGGTTTTTGTGAGAATTAATTCATCCTTTGCATTTTTGGATGCCAGCTGTTACATAGAGCATTGCGAGACATACTGGGATTCAACTCTGACTCCCTGAAAGTTGCTTCTTTTACCTTGGGGGATATGATTCCTCATGATGAGGAATCTTTTCTGTATGGCCTGCATCTAATGGTCGAAATACATTAGTTCAAAAAGTTGGAGGACAGAAGAAACTGAATGCATATATCCGAGAAAGGACAGAAAGTAGAATTTTTTTATCCAAAAGCACAGAATACCGAGTGGGAAACTTTTATTTTGAATTTCAAATTCAATCTCAAAGGTACAGAAGATCAAATGCTGAATGTAGAAATGTCGAAATTTCAAGTCATCTCAAGTCAAAAGGGTAGTCAAGTGAATTTCATGAGCAATATCACAGGACAGTATTGTGGACCAACCCTCTTACACTGTTTCTGGATTGAATTTGTGCCTCCCCTTAGGTGTGCTTCCATTAAGTGCAGGCAGGACATCTTTTGGATGGATGGTGAAGTATTAGGAGAATCCTCCTTTGGTGTCTAACTTCTGATCTGTGGAGCCCTGTGCAGTTGCTTAGAATCAGATTGGCGAAACTCGGGACCATATAGATGATAAATATGGTGATTTGGATTCTACAGATATTAGGATTAGGGCTGGGGCCTGATGGGTAATTGAGAATGTTGTATGCTAAAGAGTGCATCTCCTCCTGAATTGTCATTTTTGTCCGGGAGATCTGGGTTTCTGACAGCAGAGAGAAGAGTCAACCATTATAACAGGAATAGTCAGTAATTGTGAAATGAGGGCAAGAAAGTAAGGTTTTTCAATGGACAGACAATGGGAAATAATAGAGGCACCTTAGCCACTGGGGGCAAAGCCGAGAGTCTCACAACCACAATTGGCAACATTTTTGTCTCATCTCTACTGTTACCTGTAATTCTGGGTCCATTTCCTGCAAGATCAACCTATTTTATTGTGTTGGTGTTGGGTCTTTCTCTGTTGAGAAGGGCTGAAAATGGGCAACAAAGAGGCATTCATTGCATGTAACCATCCCAATGGCAATTATCCATAAATAACCTGAAATGTTATAACTGATGCAAGAAGTCATGATTCACAGTCTCTTTCTGCTATGGGGCCTGCAAGCTTCAGTTATATTTGAAAATATGCAGTGATGTTCAAAGATAGTATACCATTTTCCAAGGTTGTTCTTGTTATTAACCTCATTTTAATGCCACCAAATAAAAGTGTATTCTCTTTTCTGTGGTCATCCCAAAAGCAGAATTATCAATGATTAGACAACAATGCAAGGCAATAAGCTTGACATTAGCAGATTGTCTGGAAATTTTGTGATTTCCCTGTTCTCTGCAATAGGTGGGGGTTACAAATTCAATCCAGAAACAGTGTAAGAAAGACATGTTCAAGTGGTTGTCATACTCTTTAGTGATTTTGAGTATCCATTCGTCTTTCTTAATGTCTGTTATTGCCTTTCGAATAATGTTTCTGGCTTCAATCTGCATGATTTTCTGTTCTGTTACTGCTCGTTCTTTCTGGAGTTGCTGAATGAAGGCAAAAATATTCATACGATTGGCAAACAAGCAAGACATTTGCCTGTGCCATACTTTGATTGAATATCTTGTAAAAGGGTCTCCCACCAGAGTGCACTGATGAGCATTCCTTAAGGCAGATTTATAGAGCAGAGATGGGCCTTCCACATGACCCTCTGCCATTGAAGTAAGCCTCCTGAAATTATTTTTAAAATATAAACCTCCATCACTTACCAACTAGTGTGTCAACTGCCTTGGAACTTGTATCCTAGACTCATCCAGACATCTGTGGGGAGGGGGCAGTCTGGCAAATATAACCAGTTTCAGCCCATGGCATTCAGTCTTCCTAGTCTATTGATCTTCCAATCTTTCTTCTTTTCAATTAGTCTGCATTCTGTTTCTTCGCCCTTTCAACACTTTCATCTCAGCATACTCATTTTGCTCTTCCAATACCAACCCTTTCTAGGGAAGGTTTGTGGACATCAAGTTACCTTGGGATTTTTATTTTTCCCTCTGGAGTTCATCTTTTTCTTGTCCATGGAGAGGGAATAGACGGGGGGGGGGCACTTCCTACCCCTTTCCATGGATGAGCCACTAGCACTAAATATCATGAGCCACCACTGTTAGTGAGAATAGAATAGGCATATTGAAGTTGTGGTCATTATGAATACCTGGTACGAGCTTCTATGCATCACATCATGACTCTCATTCATTGAAGGTGTATGATGGCAAATGTGAGATTTATTGGACCTTATTTTAAAAGAGGGACAAGGTCATGTAAGTCCTAGTCTGTCTCCATGTTTATGTTGCCCCTTTCATTGTTGGATGAGAACTGAGAAAGTACCTACCTGGTCACTATCAGGATTGGTACATGGTGTGCATCTTTCCTATCTGCCTTGAATTTCATTTCTTATTGCATTTTTGTTGAAAGCATGGTTTTTGTTATATTTAGCATCAGTAAAAGCATTGTCTCAGGCCAAAAGGAATGGATGATGGGATGGATGCATGGTTCATGTTTTCAACTAGACGGAGTACTGGGAGTTCCCCATCTCCAAGAGGAGGGCCATCTACATCCTCATCCTCTTCGAATCTCTTCACACCTGAGATGCTGAACCAGGCAATGCAAGAGGCTCTCTCTGCTTCTGCTTCTTCCCAGGTGTGTATTGATCTTCTCCTATCGCTGAAACTTTTCTACTTCAAATAGACTTCTGCATTTCCACATTCTAGCTGAAATTTTAAATTCCATTATTTTTGTCCAGTAGCCACTACTTTTCTGGTGTACTTAGCTGCATAGTCCACAAGAAAACTAAGTTCATTGGAAGCTTCTTATTTTTGGCATGTAATTTTACTTTCTCATTGTTGCTGATGGGAGACTTTGCTTGCATAACCTTGACATGAGTAGTCCAATTTAATTTACTGGCATAAATTCACTTTTATATTCATGTCTTTTGGGAAGAAATATGCAAAAGTTTGGAAAACACATTTATTGGATGAGAGAACATGAATGTTGATGGTTGGGATTCAGGGAGGGAGTGGAGTGGGGAGCTCAGAGATGGAAACAGGGCAGAGTGAACGAGTGGCCCAGATGCGGGAACTGGGGATCCACGATGAGGAGCTCTGCTTGCGTGCCCTCCAGGCCACTGATGGTGATGTCCAAGCTGCTGTTGAACTTATCTTCAATCAGTGGGCTGAAAACTGACCACCTCCAGTCATATACATTGATCCTTCCACTGCTTGAGTTTTTGGTGAATTATGGAGATGTGATTTTTTTAAATAAACTTCTTACCAGTAATAAACATCATACCAGGTTTCCAAAATTCTGGCTTCTCACTAGTTCGTTGCAGAGTGTGGAATGGAATATTGTTTCTGATGGGAAGTATTGAGAAGGAACATTCGAAACTTTTTACTCCATCTTAACTTCTAAATGACAGTGTTTCGAATTCCTCCAGCCAGAATAATATTTGGGCTTCCTCGTGAGAGTCAGTAAATTAGGCGAAGTACTGGAAACGAGTAAAGCCATGAGAAAAGGGTGGAAGAATGCTGTCTGTTACAGGACTGCTGAGCCCGGGCTTCCCCCCTATCGGGGCATGCGCAGTTCCAACCTAAGCCAGCCTCTCCCTGGCCTAACCTGCTCCTATACACTTGGAGCGGGTTGGAGGAGGAGGAGGAAAGGGCAGACCCAAAGCGAAGTGAACATAATGAGACTAGGCCGGGGAGAGGAGACCTGAGTGCTACGTTGCCAAATATATGCAGCATTGCCAGATTTTCTTCCACTCCCTACTCCCACTCCGATGAAGTTAGAATCTTGCAAAGCCAGTTTTTCAGTCTCGTTCACCTGTTTTATCAGCACCACGGCTCCCGTAGGTCGTTTATTCCTTCAGATCTCGTTCTCCCAAAACTTTTCTCCTGCCGCCGGGCTTCCCCCTGGCAGTGATTTATGCAATGAGGTTCGCGTAGTTGATGTGACGTTTCCCCAACCAATCATATATGCGAGCATAACTCTGTATATATTTTTAAATATGGCATTAATATAATTATATCGTACAATATATAACATAAGTGTGGGAGGAACATTTTTAATACTAGAATATACAGGGTGGCCCAGAAGTAATAGGGCATTTAGTGGTACAATCAGCAGTCACTACAATTTTATTATTTGATCTTAATTTTAATTTCAGAATCGCTAAGTATTAAGTTTTGCAAATAAAAATTGTAGTGACTACTGATTGTACCACTAACTGCCCTATTACTTCTGGGCCACCCTGTATTAAGCAAGAGCTTGCATACATTTTCTATCATAGTACAATCAAGTGAAGGGTAACGTGAAAGCGGTGACAAAGTCATGTTTTTTTTTTACCGTATTATAGGCTTCGCAAACGCAAAATGAAATAAACGGGAGACATTTTAGAACTTAGTTTTTCTTCAAGAAGTGATTAAATGAGAATATAAATTTTCGAGAACGGAAGGCCCACGCCAATTTCCAAATTTTGCAAAAAGTGCTTTACGCAAGGTCTGGTACGAAAACTTGAGAAATGGAAGATGCAAAGAGGGATGATTAAGAGACAATTGGTCCGGAGCCGAACCAATGGCCACTCCAGAAGCTCACGACTCGACGTGCGAAAGGTCGCAATAAAAAGTGATAGTGAAGGAGCAAAAACGGGGAATTCGGTAAGCGGCATCAAACAGACGAAACCCCAACACGTTGAAGTGGCGGAGCGAAGATTGCCAGGACTACTTCACATGTAAATGAACGACTCTCTCTGTTCAGGTTCGAATTGTCCCGAGAAAACTAGATTCGCTTGGGGCGCCCTCTACATTTGGCAATCAGCGCTTCACTTCGTTAAAGACGTACACTAAAAAAAAACCTTTCCCGGGTTTCCGTCACACATATTTTCTTGCTATCCTGGATTTAACCCAGTAATGTAGCGAGAGTCTCATTTTTCGGAGGACCAATGAAGGTCTAAGAAACTTATGTACGCTAGGGGGAAAGGGGGGAGGGGGGGTGGGAGCCAGGCCGACCCCCCTTCCATGGCTACATCACTGGCCTACCCCAAGGTATATAGATAGATCTATAGGTCTATGTACCTTGGCCTACCCTACAGCATTAACCACAAGCCGCCTCTGCCTTGCGCGTCACTGTACGTTCTTGGATTTATATCAAAGTAACATGGTGCATTCCATCCTTGCCATATTTGGTATGAAAATGGGTTCATGTTTCCGTCCGGTTTTCCCGCATTTACTGGAGATATTTGCTATTCGGAAGAGCGAGTTGGATCCGTTTAGCTCCATGACATCGATCGACGTCATGGAGCTAAACGGACCGACCTTGCTATCCCCTGCTAAACGACAGTAGCTTTTTCTCACCTAATTTTTTTCAAAAGTTGGATGAAAAGCAAGACACGAGCAGAGAAGAAATACTGAAAGGAGGATCGACCCTGCTGAGATGATGGATCTCTGAATACTCCCCTATTGCCCTCCCAACACGAGCTCCCCATTCTGTCCCCTCGACCCACAGCCCCTGCAGCCTGCACGCGAGCCCCCTTCGGCGGAAGAATCCCTCTCCGAAATCAACCCCGAACGATCCACACGGAACCTAGAGGATCGGATGACCCTCAGTCCAATTTAGACCTCCCGACCCAGTGGGGTGAGGCTTCGTCTTCCCCGTCAATGCTCCCCATCTATTCGCATGCCCTGGACGGAGAAAAAAAGAGTTCCTCGCGGACGGGGGATCTACATTGCCGACTTCCGTAACATGCCACACCAGATACCAGTCGAATCAGCTTCATCAACATATGATAATCATATTTTATTCAGGGTGATAACTAGATAACTCGATCAAGAGTCGAGAAAGAGAAGGGAAATCCTGAATGCTAACAAAGGGCGGACGGGATGACCATTACGTCCCAGTAAGAGAAGGGGAAAGCATTATGGCACGTGGAAGCCATGTTAATTCGTGCTCGTGACGTGATTAAACCGAATCGAGGTAATTGTGGGAGTCTAAATATATCATAGGGTGAAGTTTGCCACGACGCAGCCTGTTTTCATGTTTTATTGGAATGATTTTTACCTGGGAAACGGCCAGGTCAGGATTTTTTCCGACTTTCGAGACTGCTTGCCTCACCTCATCAATGTATTCGCACCCGAGAGGTTTCTCCTATATCGTCTTCAAATTTACTATCAAGGAAATTTCATGCAAGCACGAGGCACGCACGTTCCTCGGGACCGGAATTACCTCGAGTGTCGCCTCCAACTACGTGTAATAATGATGATGTTTATTGCTGACATAGAGGTAGTGGAACATGCAGTTTCTCGTATGAAATACAGTGAAAACTCGTTAACTCGAACTTTTAGGGACCGGGCAAATCGTTTCGAGTTATCCGAAGTTCGAGTTTGAGATATCCGGAAATTCGAGATAAGCGAATTCGAGTTAAACGGAGCATTTAACATGGTGTCCTACGGGGTTCCGCCGGGACCAAGCTTTGAACTTCGAGATAAGCAGAATTTCGACTATCAGGATTCGAGTTAACGAGTTTTCACTGTATTTGTCTCAGCAATATTCCTGACAAGCGGGGTTTCCGAAGGTCAGAAAACGTTTCGTAACGATGCGGGCTCAGGAAGCATTTCCCTCTAGGATTGCCACCTTTGAATTCAACAAAATATGGACAAATATTCGAAATATATCCACGGTCACCTTAATTGCTTTTGACTTAGGGGAAAATAACGATATTAGCTGCTATTAAGCTTTATTGAATAATAATGAATATATTAACCAGTTTAAAAAGTAGACAAAAATGTCTCCATATTAGGACCAGTTTGCCGTATGGACATATCATCTGAAATATGTACTGTCCATATTAATTATGAACGGGTGGCAATCTTACTTCCCTCCCGTGGGTCATCAGTTCCCATTCCTTGCGAGGCAACGTCGACGAAAGGAAAGTGGCGGGTCGAGCGTTTCACCGTGGCAAGCACAGGTGTGGTAAAGGGTTGGGTGGGGGGGTCCGGGCCGTGTGGTATGTGTTCACCAGATTTGCCTCTGTTGGGATCATGGTCGAAACACTGAACAAGAAATTGATGAAAGTACAACATTGTTTTGGCATTGTACTCTTTCCTCCATGCGTTCCAGACAAAGTCGTAAGTTTTAGCATGCCGTTTTCAATCCAAGGCACATTAGGCCCAATATTACGTGTCTAGGAACGTATGAAAATTTGGAAGAATGGGAGCGGGTGCGTGAAGACGGGCAAAAATAGCCTTAACTTATTTGGAAAAAGCCCGCGTGCGAGACACATGAGGTCATACGCCGTCATGCGCAGAATGTCCAAGTCCGCATTGCGTGACTTGCCATTCAGTGCTTAGACCAAGGAAACGATCGATGACTGTCTGTCTGCTCCGACGGTTGCGTGTTCCCTCGCGACTTTTGCCTACTGAACTTTCTGGGTGGTGACTCGCTTTTCCCTTTCCATGGATCGGCTTTCACTTTAGACAGCCACGTGCCAGTGAGTTTATTCAAGGCTTGGTTTCTAACAGTTAGAGGAATTCATTCTGTGGTTTCGTATCACTGACTGGTTCATCTAACCGTTTCGCGGTAGTTACAAAAGCTCTCGGGGAGATGAATCATTTAGGCCTAACTTGATTCATCTGCTCAATCTGGAGCATGGATTGGTATGCTCATGATGTATCATGTTTAGCTCCGAATAGCAATTGCTTCACAAAATTATCTTCTCATTATATTCCATATTCGAGAGACTGAATTGACCAGACGTAGGCTAAGGTTGCTAAGGTTTCATAATATGGACAGTAAATATTTCATACGGCAAACTGGTCCTAATATGGAAACTGTTTTGCCCATATTGTAAACAGGTTAATATATAAATATATTTTTTACTTAAAGCTTTATATCAGCTAATATCATTGTTTTCCCTGTCAGAAGCAGCAGACCAAACTTAAGGTATTGATTGGTGCCTTGGCTTATCCTAGGAATACCAAAGGGGATGGGGACCACTCTCACCTTCATATGACCTCTCCTTTATAGTTGGGCAATTAGGCTAATTTAATTATAATGTTTGTGTTCCACGAATGAAGAAGGATGTGTGTGGATAGCATTAATTTTTCCTGATTGGCTAGGCCTAGGGTTGCTGCCTTAACCCTTGGAATTCCTGGGGAGGTGGGCTCCTTTGGCCTATACCTTTTTTTCCTTTTTATTTCTAATGTCAAGTTTTTTCTCATATCTTTACAGTGAAATTTGACTGCAGTCTCTTAGATGTCAACAACACCTGCTGTATCTGGTTA